GATGGAAATGCCCACCCAGTTCTTCTAGCTGTGCCAGCAGCGACGTGCTCCCTATCTGCATACACACAGCCAGCCACCGAGAGACACGGCCCACGTGTCCCAAACAGATAGAAGAAAACAGCCACAGGGGCCACAGCAGACTGATTGAAGCTGCCAGCTCTAATGTGTTGAAATGTTGTCATTCCTCTTGTAGGCTGTTAACAAGGAGGCACAGGGGACTTCTCTGCACAGCATCTTCTCAGCTACATTGGGGGCAGGGAAGGAGATAAAGCTTCCGTGCTCCAAGAGAAAGGAGGGGCCCAAGGTAGTGCTGAGGGACCCCCTTCTCCAGAAAGTGACCTACAATGGGGAGGTGACATCACATAGGGCATTTTGTGTGAACACGTGGGAAGAGTGAAGTCTGCAGAAAGAGGTGAAAACACTCAAGGACAAAGCAGCCTTGTTCTGACAGCCTTCTCTGGCATTAGCACGAGAGACAAAGGAACATTGCCTGAGCACAGGTAATCAGGTAAGAAGGGACAAGAGATTTTTGCTAGAAGCAGCTTATAAAGGTGAGCCAGGTTCCTGGAATCAAGTCTTTACTTCCTTACGAGGCTTCTTCTCTCTATTTCGTCTTCTCTTTTCCAAACCTAAATCACTCTCTTTGGTCTTGGAGCTTTCCAGATGGTTTCTATTTCTTGCCTGTAAAACGCTGGAGGTGGCCAGGCAGCTCTGAGCGCTTCCCCTGGCATTACTGGCAGAGCAGAGCTTCCCTCCATGCGTCAGCTATGGACGGACAGAATAAAGTTTGTGAACTCCAGGAACACCTGTGGAGCTGCATGCAGAAGGGCGGATGAAAATAATTGCAGGTAACAGTGGGAAATTGGCTTTGGTGTCTGCTGGCTTTGCACTGAGAGGTAGATTTAGGTTTTTGAAAACGGTAAGAAGAGGGGATAGGAGCAATCATCTCTCTGTCCCACTCCTGCTCTGTTCCAAGCTACAGTTTCACTTGGAATAAAGTGAGATGGCCAGGAAACCATTTCTGAAAGATGATGGTACAACCAAGGAGACATTTCCACGGAGGACTTCTAAGAAGAGGATCTCTATCTCCCAGCTCTTTTTACTCCTTGCCTTTCCCGTTGCAGAACCAGCTCTCAGAGATCATTATGAAAAAGAACAACAACAACAAACCAGCCTCATCAGTTCTCGTGGCTTGTGAAGGTCACCAATGTCACCATTAGTTATAACGACACACGTCACTCCTCTCTTCACACAAATGGGTTTACCACCTGTTTAAAGGCTAGTGTCTCTCGGTGTGCTTCTGCTGCCCCGTCTCCGCACACACACGCTCTCCTCCAGCAGCAGCTGCTGGAAGAAATTATGAATTCCATTATTTTTCATCCAGAACAGCTTTTGCAGTATATGGGAGAAGCACTGGAGGCTGCAGGCTCGTTAGCGCAGGATTTGTACTGCCGCCTTCCATTTTATTCACCTTCCCAAATTAGGTGTAGCAAGCCTGCCCCAAACCTGTGATTTCTGTTTAATTAAAATGCAGGTAGTGGAGTCTCCTGAACTCCAGAGCCCACTGCACAATCAGACAGTGACAGCGACCTGGTAGAATAATGCTCTTGATATAGTGGCTGCTCTAACAGAGCCTTAATTTCAGTCGAGCAGAACAGCACCTCTGGTAGCAGCTGCATTTAGGGCTGGGATGAATATCAGTACCCAGCCTCTCGCCGAACGCTCGCTGCCTTCCCAATCAAAGCCGGCATCCCTGACAGCTGAACTGTTAAATGAATTAACAAGGCGAGAAGGGGGCTTGCCGAAGGGGCTGCGACTCCCTTCCTAATTTCTGCAAGTGGTGGCTTTCAATTTTTCTGTCATTTGTCGGGAGATGCACATGGCTCTCTAATGAGGAGGGCAGAGCTGCAGCCAGCTCTAAAAAGGTGATGTTATGAGGATCTTCTGGTCCGTGGAGGAGAGGGATCCAGACGCTTGAGGCGGGTGGGGGAAGGACACCGGCTCGGTTCAGACTGAACAGGCAGCACATCCCTCCCGGCTGCACTGAGTGCAAGGACTCCCAGCCCCGCTTCTCCCGGCACAGGGAAGGAATTGCTCTTCGTATCAGTGAGCCTCACAAACATCCAGGCAGAACTCAAAACAGAGCCTCTGCCAGGGCTTCGATCGTACGGGCTACCGTAAGAAGAAGAAGGTTTAGCTCCACCTGTAGCGAAAACATCCCCCCAAAAAACTGCAAACCACTCACATCCACCTCCCTTAGTCACCAGGCAAGCCAGGATACAGAGGTCTGTTACTCATGCCTGGCCTGTTGCCTATCAGCAGGTTGGTCTACCAAAATTTTCTCCTGCCCATCAGAGCCAAGCAAGACCTGAGTGCTCGGGCTGCCGGCTGGGGTACAGCTCAACGGCACACCAGGGCTCGAGGGAAACTTCCCATTCGGGTGTTTTTTACTTGTTTGATTGGCAAAGCTGTCAGAAGGTTGGTCTTAAAGGCATTTTTTTTTTTTCAAGTTTGTCAGGGAGCTCCATTGCCTACTTGATCTTTTATTGTAAAAATCCAGATATGATCACAGGAAAATCTTCAAATCTGACATGGGAGAGTGCAAGAGGGAAGGAAGGATTTACAGACGCTCTTTTTGCACCGCTCATCCAGCTACACCAGACATAGAGGCTGAGGAGTACATCAACCCTCAGTATTACTTTCAGGTGCTGCACACCGCATGAAACACCCACTAGGACTGCACAGAATCAGGTGTTTTCACTGAACTGGCCCAAACCCAGCACGTTTTCCCCAAGGCACGTGCTGTATATTCCTTTTTACACCTGAGAGAGGAATGTCCTTGCACCTACCAGAATTACTGCAACGCTTACAGCAAAACAAAGCACCGTTTAACAGTACAGAGGTGTAAGTTATCTGGGGCCTTCAGAGCGGGGACTGGTCCCCTTCAGTCATTTTGTGTTCAGCACTACGCCTGTGTTGCCAGCATTTGTTGTTTATTGGGAAGGCTTTCTCTATTCTTAACATGGAAGCCCCATTGTCGAAGCTAAGCAGACCCATTTTTTCCAGCTTGCTTCTTAACTGCTTTTACCATGGGTAAGAACATCAAGCAAACAATAACAACAAAAACTTGTCTTTTCAGAGCGCACTTTAACTCAAAGGTGTCACAAATCAATTTAAAACTTAAATTGCAATACCAGCTGCAATCACTTTACTCACAGGATAAATCACAGCCCGTTCTGGAGGTGAAAGAGGCAGTTATATAAGAAAGCGTAATAACTTCACACAACAAGAGTGAAAATCGGCAGGAAGATCCTACATTTATCATTTCTACCGCATGAACCTGGATTGTCCCTAACCAGAGGTAAATCCAGTATCTCTAAAAAACCATCTGAGTCACGATATACCAGCCTTGCCTGCCTGTGAAAGGTCTCCTGGATATCTGTTTCCCCCTGAAGTCTGGCTCCTTCCATTGCCCTGTGCCCTGTCTGAGTTACGAGGACGAAGACCTGGGCTGTGGGATTAAAAGATGTGATATAACAGCATTTTCTCCTTTTCCCCAGCTGGTTTTCTGTGCCGTGTACAAGCGTTCAGATGTCAGTGCTGGCTCTGTTTGCAGCAGTGAGATATTTAGCTCTGAAACAAAAATGTGTTTTGAAGCCAGATACAGTTGGCTCCACTTGGGGCTTTCTTTGCTGCAGTTGCAGAAGTAAGTTGGAGCAGCAGCAAACTAGAAAAAATGTAAATATTGCCAGCTGTCTCTCCAGAACCATGCTGCTCTGATTAATTTATGATGCTTTCAGAGAAAGATAGTAAATGTTACACCATGTTTGAAATGAAAAGGTTAAGTAGAGTTTAAAAAAAATGTGCAGTAGAGTTAAAAAAATATCGCTTTGTTTAGTTTTGAGCAACAGAATATTTAACTAATAATAATGAAATGAATTAGTGCTGGGTTTGATAGCTTCTACATCTTAGCCTCGAGACAGAAGAACAAAAGTGTAATCAGATTTGTTCACAGTGGCAGGCTGAACAACGGGAGCGTGCGTGTCGCCTATTCTTGTTCTAAGCTTCAAGAGGCGCCGCTGCAGAAATTGATGCCATAACTAACAGCGATTTCGGCTCCAGCCTCTCTCCAGCTGGGCCACCATAAACACGGCACCGCCGTCGTGGCTGTGAGGAAGACATCAGCTATTCCAGTCTTGCGCTTCTCAGCCAGAGTTACTGAGAAGAACAGACTCAGCTGCGGGTTATCCGGGCTCTGCAAAATCACCTGGTTCACAAAGCACTCAAGAAGTGTCTAGTTAACTGTCTCATCCTGATTTCCACCTCCAGCCTTCCAATGAAGGGATTTAACAATGATCAGCAAGTTACATTTCATAAATACAGCCTGGATTCATGCACTAGATCCATCATAAGCGACGGCATGAACAGTGCCACTGACCCTCAGCTTCTGCAGAGGCTGGATGTAGCTGCACGTGCCTGAGAGCAATCATAATCCGTGCCTCCAAAGCTAGCATTAAACTGGATGCAGCGTCGTCTTGACTTCAAGAGCATAAAAATACAGCAAGGTGTGGTGCACAGGCAATGTCTACACAGAGAGCTATAAAATAAAAGAACCAGCTTTCCAAGTCTCCCTTGTTTTGTAGTTTTGTTTCTTTTCCCTTGTGGCTTTCCTGTGCTCCACTTTTCACTTCTTTAACTTGAGTCAATTCTTCCCTCAAGCTAATCTGATATGAACAGTCATCCTCCTGCAACTCCAAAAATATTTTCTCTTCTTTCTTTCAAATGCCCTTTCTCCCTTATCCGTGTAGACTAACTGGTTTTCAAACGGCAAGAAACTGCCAGTGCCAACCTATTCCAGGAGAGGACACTCCAAAAAGACTTACTGATCAGGACCAGGAAATTTTTCAAATCATTCCTTTCCTGGACAAATATTAAATATTAGCAGGAGAATACTAAAACATGTCAGTACTTTAAAATTAACTAATTTTCCTTTTACCTACCTGCTTCACCCACAAAGACTTCCACTGGTGTGCTGGTAGGGCTCTCGCCAATCACATTATATGCTGTCATTAGCACTTCATATCTCTTGTATTTCTTCAACTCTGAAAAAGCAAAGTATTATATATAATTATTTACACTATATTACAGACATCTTTTAGACTCCATCACCTCTTTATCACCAGACTTCTCTCTTGTGAAACACAGCATTAGAACAGTACAATAGTGCAATGTCTACTTCCATCCTTCCTTAATTCACACATCACAGCAGGATTTGTATAATTATGAAAGATCTTTGCAATGAAATGGCAGGATTTTCCAGTTTCCTCATGGTGTTGCTTCAGTAAGAGGAATCATTCCTGATGGGTAACTAGCTAGAGGAACATCTCCAGTCATTCTTAATGACAGAAAAGGGCAGGACTTGGGACGTTCAACATATGGGCTCCTTTTGATCTCTACTGGTAGGAAAGGACATGGCTTCAAGTCTTCGCCTAATCTTAAGGACTTTCTGAGGAGTCATTTAGCAACTGCACTACTCAAGAATGTCACTGCTGAAGCAGGGTGCAGAAGATGTCCCACCCGAAGTACTACAGGGGACTTCAACGTGACCACAGCCTGAACATCAATCACAAAGAGAAAGGAGACTTTGAAGTCTCAGTTCCATTTGGCCACCTGGCAACCAATTTCTTTGCTGACATATAGAAACTACTCTGACAGATGAGGTGGAAGAGTGACAGTAGTGTAAAAAAAACCCTAGAAAACTCAATTGTACAAGGGTAATTAGTAGATGCAAATGAGGGTGGAGTAGAATCATGCCAACGTCATTAAGGGAGGCAGCGCCTGAGCAGTTTCATTTCAGATTTTGCATTTTCAGGATGAAAGAATCAGTCCTAACAGAAATATTTATCACCTAAAATATTTAACAGGGAAATTAGGGTAAGACAGCGATCAATAATATAAATGGCCCTATTTAAATGAGCATTTAATTGATTAAGACACACATGGCCAGGGGTCCAAATTTCTCCCTGTGCCAATAATTTTCTCTGCTATCTGTGAATCACATAGGACCCTTAACTCTGTGGCTGACCGTATGCTGTCAGTTTAGTAAGGTTTAATAAGTTCTAATCATACAGGTGCATCTAATTTCAGTTTCACGGAAGTGTTTACAAGTGATGTGCTCCTACATCTGACTCAGAGCCCAGCATGATTACCCAGTCTCAGGCATACTGTAAACAATATCCAATACATCACTAACTTTTTGATGCGATTTTGCTAAACTCAGACAGATTGCAAACCATGTAGCAAGCAAATCAGCAATAACGATGTTAAGTTCGTAAACAAACAAATAAAAATAGTAAGATATAAAAAATACAGTAGTGGGCAGCTCGTACAGGGAAACTTCAATTGCTGCCACGAAAACCTGCAAGGGAGATTTTAGTGTTAACTGGATGTGGAAGAAAATAGAACACATGAGAGTTCATGCATGCAAGTTTCAGTGGGGATAGGGCTTCATATTTTTTTTTTTTAGCCCGTCACAATCTGTGACTCAAAAGCCTTGGGCAAAACCTATCTAGTGAACCATCATTACCACAAAGCAACTTGCCTTTTAACTCTGTCGAATGCTATTTTATTCATTTCCAATTGAAAACACCTCTGGAGATGCACATAAATTCATTGGGCCCTCTCTAAACTGGCCTTCTACTCCATGGAATGCCTGAGCATCGCAATGCTTGAATCATAGGACTAATGATGTGATACAGTTAAACTCAGATGGACTGCAAAATATGTAGTGAGCAAATCAAAATTCATTTAGCATCAGCAATACTGGGTTGTTACAGTCAATAATGTTTTACCTTCCCAGCAGCCACATTTTTA